AGGGTCCCTGTAATAGGGCCTGCCAGCAGCCAAGCGACCCCCCCTGGCCAGCTGACTCTGCTGCTCCCTTCGCCAGGGCTCCTGCAACGGACGCGACAGTCACTTTCCGTCACCGCCCTGCACAGCGACTGGGGTTTTATCACATTAACACAATTCTCAAACGAACACAGAAACAACCTTCCAGCTCGGCTCAAGCTGGCACAGCTCTCCTCCCTAGGGACCTGCCACTTCTCAGGCACCCCGGCAGGGACCTCCTTCCCTCCAGCTTCATCCACCATCCCTCATGGCAGGAGCCCCAGCCTTTCGCTTCCCGCTGCTGCCTTTTACCCAGGGACCACCCTATTCAACCCAGGGGAGGCTCATCCTGAAATGAGAGCTGCCTTAGCCTGCAGCCCATGGGCAGTGCCCAAATGTCTACAGCCACCCATTGCCACAGGATGCCATGGAGGCCACGGGCCCAGCAGGAATCACAAAGGAACCGACATTTATATGGCGCTGAGAGAATCCAGTTATATCACATAGGGTAGGAAAAATAAGAAGTGACATAAACGTTCAAGCTTCAGGGCAACTACTAAATAACGGGTCTTGAAAGAAACCCCCTATATGGGAAGGAAATGCCGTAATTGTCCATCATGGGTTTTTTGCACCTTCCTCTAAAACAGCTGGTCTTGGCCCCTGCCGGAGAGAGGAGCCTGAGCTAGATGGCTCATGGGTCTGAGCTGCCCAGGTTATTCCTGTGCATAGCCAGCAGTACCCGCTGGACTCTGAACTGGACACTTCCCGAATACTTGGGAGTAACTTTCAGGGCTAATTAATGAGCCTGGAAATGTGCAGGTACGCGATGTAAATGTAGGAGCCCTCAGTAGCAGAAACTGTGAAATAAAGTGTCACACTCCATCAGTTTCTATCACATCCACTCACAGAGCACCACCGCCACTTGGATCACACTCACATCTGCTCGGGCATGTGTTTGACACCCATACAAGAAAAATACAAAACGTTGCTTCGGTTATGAGGAATAAAATACTCAGCTCTGAGCCTGGGTACCAGCCGTTTCAGGAAAACCCCTCGTTGTACAGGGCTTTCCAGTCTGGTTGTAAAATTTTCCTCTGGGCTAGAAGCTGGAGCCCAAGAGGAGATTCTATTTCCTTGATGCCGGATATGCGTGCACATCCTGTTCGGTGCATGTGCAGAAAGCAGGGCACACGGAGAGGCGCCCCTGGAATCTCAGACGGGGCGTTTTGGTAAATGCTGTGCTGTAAACGTGTGCTCTGTTTTACAATAAATAATTGATGTTTTTCTGGCCCCTCCTGTTTATTTTGGAGCTTCAAAATCACTTCCGTCTCCTCTAGGGTAAATCCTCATTTCACAGGTGAAAACGGCTGCCGCAGAGTAACTGCATTTGGCCAACACGGCCTTGGAGATTTTTCCCACGCGGAGTCAGTGCAGAGATGCAGAATCTGCTGGGTCAGTGGTTCAGGCACCATGCTGGCAGATGCAGCCCATCACTGTGATACCCAGTGATTTCTCCAAGTTTAAATCAAAGACAAACGAGTGCAGAAGCAGGTACGAGATGCTCCAAGGATGTCCAAGCACCGATCTAAGAGGCGATATCTCCATATTAATGTTGGAGACCAACTCCAGAAATGGCCAGCGTGCATCCAGGTCAGTATGGAGGATAATGAGACAACACTGTGGGCCCTGCACACCCAGAAGTCAGGCAGCTCTGATGCATTCAGACCATGCTCATAGCTCCCAAGTGGGGAGTAAGGGGAAAGGGCTGGAGCCAGCAGGCTGAACTCTCCCAAGGCCTGATCAATCAGTGACAGTTCTCTCTGGAAAGAGCAGTTGCACTATTGATTTGCTTACGCTCAGATTGCAGCAACTCCATGGGATGTAGGTTAAGGACAGTTAGAGTAGCTAAAGCCATTGCTAAACCAGAACAGCAGATTAAACCTGCTCTGCTCAGAATGTCTGGGAAGGGTGGAGCTGTATCTAGCCCTACAGTTCACACTTCCATCTACAATGGGCTGACCTTCCCCTTCCCATACCCCCCCGGAGTTTTCAGGACCTTTGGCTTTGGGTTTGAATCCTGATCTCACCTTGCTAGTCCTCACTTCTGAAACAGATGCCCCTCACCCCTGAAGAAATGCCCCCTGGAATGCACCTGTTCACGACAGAGATAGAAGGACAGTGCGGTCCCAGGGCTAGGAGTCACCCAGCACAACCTACGCTGGCTTCCCAAGCTCTATGTTGCGCTGCCCATGGCCGTGCTCGGCTCTCACAGGTGTGTCACCGGATCCTGAATGTGCTCAGTAGAGAATCCGCTCCAGTACTGAGGCACAAGGCTGTGAGTGAAGGAGACGAGGCTTTACTTCTGTCAGCTCAGGTTAGCCCCAGAACATTAACATAACTGTAACGCAGTTGAAAAGGAATCCACTAGTTACAGGAAATGATTTACAGGACACAAGACTGCCTTTCAGAGGCCTCAAGTGTACCATAAAAAATATACTGTAAAGGAGTAATCTTTATCTGAAGTGAAGCTGCACAGAGAGAACACATGTCCAGCTGAGAGCAGCATTGAGCTTTCGTTCACTCTGGGAAAAGTCAGAGCTCTTCATCTCATTTGATTAATTTTTTTCTTGGCACTGGACATCTAGTTAATATTTGTGCTCAACGATGGTGGTTTTTTCCTCCAAATGTTGCTCTTGTCCTGGGCTCAGACAAAGGCAGAGTTGCTGATAGTATCTCCCCAGACAAACTGCCCTGCTGGGTTTGTGTGTTAACTGCAAGATGTGGAGAAGTCAGACTCCACTCCCCACTGTCCTGTCCCACGCTGCCAAGACTGGCCTATCTCAGACCAGAAGGTGCCAGGAGCAGTGACCCCACCTGCCCCCCTCCTCCCGCCAGGCTGATGCCAAAGCCCATTTGCAAGAGCCTGTGTGGTAGGGTGTGGAGCAGCTCTGTACCCCCAGGAGTCTGAGGAGGAAGGGATGGCTGTCTTCAGCTGTATTTTCTTCTCTCCCTTGGTGAAGCTGAGGTTCCCTGGGGTTCACAGTATTCAACACTGAAAACATGGGCATTGTGGTTGCACCCAGCCCAGAAATGTGTGTAGCTCAATGAGCACCCCCACAACAGGTGTGGGATCTCCAGTGCTCACACACGAGCCAGGCGTAGCATGCAGCTGCACCTAAGTGTGCCGGGGGGTTTCTGTCCCTCACGCAGGCGGGTGCACTTAGGCACATGCGTCTTCGAAATCGGGGCCCTAATGTTCACTTTCAGATCCCCCTTGAGTCAAGGCAGCAATGCAGAGAGGAAGGAGAGTCCAGAGGTTAGGGCACTAGGGTTCAGTTCCCTGCTCCATCACATATCGCTAGTCTCTCTGAGGCTGTCTACACAGCACCTAGACACCCACGGCTGGCCCGTGCCGGCCACCTGGGGCTCGTGGGTCTCGGCCTGTGGGGCTGTCTCATTGCTGTGTAGACTTCTGGGCTCAGGCTGGAGCTTGGGCACCAAGACCCTGCGGGGTGGGAGGACCCATCTGTACATCCATGGAATAGCCCAGCCCTGCCCTGCCTCCAGGGGGCTGTAGGGATAAATACACCACAGATTGTGAGGTGCTCAGCTCCTACGGGATAAGTACCTAAAAGATACCAACAGACTCCAGGGCAAGGTGGGGAGTGTAACAAACCCACGTCCACACACTCCAGGAGCTGCTCAGCTAAGCACACCTCTGCGGCAGGGGCAGAGAACTGCAGCCCTCCCCTCGCCCCAAATGACAGATCGGGGAGGTTACTGGATGGTACTGGAGCCCAGGTACCTCTTATCGACATCCCGAAGGACAGAAGGACCGGGGTAATTTTATGCCTTTGATGGAGTCGCCCCTTTCTGGAGATCACTAAATCACCCTTGCAGGGCCTGGGTCCAGGGCCCCATATCGGTATTTCTGAAGGATAAACAGGGATGGCCACTGCCTCCCCTTGCATCCCATGGGGGAGCCAGGCCTGCCCTCAGGGGAGATGGCGCCTCGTTAGTCATGATGAGGGGAGCTCCTGGGTTGTGGGGGGGAGGGGGGGCTCTACCCCGGGGGAACAGACTCTCCTGCCCATAGAAATGTAGGGCTGGAGGGGTCACCTAGTCTAGCCCCCATCTTTTGGCTTTTCCCCACAGAGGGAATCCCCCAGCTCTGGGGGAAGGGCCCAGCCTCCTCTCATGAAAGAGGAGATTCCTTTCCCCTATGACTTGGGGTCACCGTGGCCCCTGCTTGGAGCCCCCAACGACAGAAGATGGGGGCTGACAGCCACTCACCCCAGAAACCTGCAAAGGAGAGGGGGAAAGGCCCTGTCCTCACAAGGCGGACAAGGATTAGTCTTGGGGAAGCTGTGGAGTAGTGGGGGGGGGGGGGCTGGGGCGGGAGGGGGGCAGGGAGAAGCAGAGGGCAGGGTGCTGGGGGGCCGGAGTGGGGGAAGGGAGGAGTGGGGGTAGGGCGGCTGGGGGTCACAGCTGGCAGACTGGGGCAGCAGGAGAGGTGGGGCTGTGGGGCACAAGAATTGTAAGGCAGGAAGGGGACAGCCAGTGCTGCGAGGGGCGGGGGGCAGCAGGGATTTGCATGGGGGAGGTCTCAAGGGGCGCGCTCCTCATCTCCATTCCCAGCGCCCGGCGCTCCGAGCGCACCCGCCGGCTCCGGCCGCGCTGCCCCTGCCCCGGCCCCGGCCCCGGCCCCGGCCCGGCCGCACCCGTGCCCGGCGCGGTCCCAGCCCCGGCGGCCGGGGCCAGGCGCGCTCCCCCCGTGCCGGGGGCGGGCTCTCCCCACGCGGGAGCGCGCTCTCCGCCTCCCACCCGGCACAAAGTTTAGCAGCAGGAACTCGGGCGGCAACAGGGCGAGGCGGCGGAGCCAGAGCGCAGCGTCCCCGGCCGCGCCGCGCCGCGCCGAGAACCGGTCCCCATGCGCCCGGCCGGCGGGCGGCGGCGGCACCGCGGGGCTCCGCGCTGACTGTGCCATGCGGGGCTCCCCCCCGGCGGCTGCGGGGCGGGAGGGCGGCGGCGCCCCATGCGCACGGGGCTGCCGGGCGGCGGCTGACACCATGTGCGCCCGGTGCCCGGGGCTAGGAGCGGGGAGCAGCCATGGCCCCCCCCGCCCAGCCTGGGGCGCAGGGCGGGCGCGGCTCTAAGGGGCCCCCCGCTCGCAGGCTGTTCTGCATGTGCACCCTCTCGCTCTGCCTCACCTACCTGTGCTACAGCCTGATGGGGGGCACCGGCCCGGGCGCCCCGCGCTCCCCCGCCGCCCCGCGCGGCTCCCCCGGCCCCCAGCGCCCCGCGCTCCCCCGGCGCCCCGCGCGGCTCCCCGGCCCCCAGCGCCCCGCGCTCCCCCGGCGCCCCGCGCGGCTCCCCGGCCCCCAGCGCCCCGCGCTCCCCCGGCGCCCCGCGCGCCTCCCCGGCCCCCAGCGCCCCGCGCTCCCCCGGCGCCCCGCGCGCCTCCCCGGCCCCCAGCGCCCCGCGCTCCCCCGGCGCCCCGCGCGCCTCCCCGGCCACCCCCGCGCCCCCCACTCGGGCCAGCAACGCCAGCCGCCCGGGGGGGTCGGCGGCCGCCTGGCTCCGGACCGCGCTGGCCCCCGGCGAGGTGATCGCGGCGCCGAGCGGCGCCTTCGAGAGGGACCCGCAGGAATCCAGCACCACGGACGAGGAGCTGAGCCGGGCGGGCAGCACCACGCCGGACTACGGCGAGAAGCGGCTGCCGCAAGCCCTGATCGTCGGCGTGAAGAAGGGGGGCACCCGGGCGCTGCTGGAGGCCATCCGGGCGCACCCCGACGTGCGCGCCGTGGGGGTCGAGCCCCACTTCTTCGACAGGAACTACGAGAAGGGGCTGGAGTGGTACAGGTGAGCGCCGGGCGGGCCGGGCCTGGGCGGGCCGGGGGAGAGACACCTGCCCCGGGGCAATCAGCCTGCGCCCCCCCCCCCCCCCCGGGGCAGGAGCCGGGCCTGTGGCCGGCGGGGAGCGCTCCTGGCTGGAAGGGCTGGGCCCGGACCCCCCGGCCTGTTTGGAGAAAGCCCCCCCCCCGGGGCAGGGCCAACGCTGCCTGTAGCCCTCCCCCTGTGCCCCTCTCCGGCTACATGCCCGCTCCCCTTAGGCACCAGATCAACCCATCCTCTCTGCCCTGGGAGCAGGTGGCAAATTCCCTTCCTTCTCCCCATGCCGCCCCTGGAGGCTCTGGGCCTCATGCCCCGCGGCGGCGGGGGGGGGGGGGCTGTGTCTTGGAGCCTGAGGGCAAGGCTTGTCAGCCTGTGCTGGGTACCAGGGGCTGTAGCTGTGGGAGGATGCACCAGTCCAGCTCAGTCCTCCCAGCCCTCAGGGACAGAGGCTGGGGGTGGGGGCGGTGGGGTTAGTAACTGTTGTGCCCAAGAGTGGAGGAGAAGGGAGTGTGTGTTGTTCGTGGCTTGACTTTCCATTGCCTTGCTTTTGTGGGTGTGGGTTTGTGTCTGGTGTGGTGTGTGTGGCTCACCCTGAAGGTTTCTGTGTATTTAAAATCTAACTTTCCCCCTCCCTGCAGAAGTTCTCACATTGAGTCTATTGCTTACTTATTTATTGCCAGCAGCGGGCTCAGGTCTGCCCATCTCCAACCTGGCAGCTTACCCGAGCAAGGTACTGTCTCCAGGATCTGTGTGAATCCCAGACATGCTCTCCCTTTTCCACTGCAGGGACCTTGGAATTGCTTAACGACATAAAAACAATATATAAGGGACATTGATAGTGACAAATAAGGGGGGCATATGAGGCCCCAGAGCAGCCAGTGCCTGGCGTGGAGGCAAGTTGTGCGATAACACTTTTAAATGCAGGTAAAATAAATGTATAATTAACGTGACTGGCTATTATACCATTTCAAATACAGGGTTGGGATGGAGATGCCAGAAATAGATAAAAATGCACGTTTTATGCAGCCCCCAGTACACAGAAGATTTGAACAGATTGCTCTGGGCAGCTGCACTTGCCCTGTACAAACCTAGACTGTTCAGTAGTTAATAATTACGGAAATAAACAAGCCTGCAAGCCCAGGTGATAGCTGCAGTTTTAAAGTGACAATAAATAAACAAGGATTCTGTCTTCATACAAGCCGCAGAATCCTGAATTTACTTCCCAAATGGAGATTTATTCCTTGTATGCAACAAGTTCCATCTGCTAGAAGTTTCTGAATTGACTAGACTGAGCTCTGTGTATGAATTACTCTTGGTATTGCCTTTTGCTATTACACATTTGAAACTTTTAACATAGACTCCTTTTAACCTGTTCAAATCTATGAAAACTGGATGAATTCATCAGTAGGTTTCTTTGCTGTTTCAGCATACCAAACTAATTGTGATGTTCACTGTTTTAAAATATTTATCTCAAAACTTGAAAATACAAATAATTAATTTAACTTGAAGATTACTGATGTTATTATTTTTTAGTTTCTGGCAGCACCCGCACTGTCCTTGTTGCTTTCCATATAGGCAAGAATCATGATTAAAACATTGAGGTCCTGGCTTTTTATTTCACTCATTAGGGCAGTTGACTAAACAGCTCAAAAGAATGAGGAAATTTTCAGTTTCAGGGGCAAAAAGTTAACAACTGTTTAAATTAGCTGGGTTTTGTTTTTTTTAATAAAAATAAAGTGTGAGGTTTTCATGCCAACACTAACTTAGATATGGTCTTCAGGCAGGTTTCCTCAGAAATTTTGGAAGCAAAGTGTGTGCATAACGCTTATTTGCTGTGGGTTTTGCTTGGCTTTGTTATGATGCCCAGCGATTCTCTGAGGAACTCCAGCGAAGTGGAGCCCAGCAATCAGAAAGAGAGTACTTGTGTGGGAGCGTGTTCGTTATGTGCTGTCAAAGGCTGTGCCTGTTACATCAGCATCTGGGCATGAGGAGGAGGACTGGCTCAGCTGATTTCATTTTGTGCACACTTTGTTTCAAACAGCCATCATCATATTTTACCTAATTTTCACCCAGGAAAGCTTTGCTTCAAAGACCAAGTTTAGAAACTTGATGAAAGAAGCTAAAGATAGGGGTGTAGAGAGGTTTGGTTTTGTTCAAAATAGGCAGAAGAAGATCAAGCATTGAATATGGCAAGCAGCTGTGTTTGCATCTTGAAAGTAAAGCTGGGAGAAGAGGGCCAGGGAGTGAGCGTAGATTTCCCTTGGAGTGAAAGGCACAAGCAGGTATGCATCTGCAGAACAGTATTTGGATTTTGTTATCATTCTTGTAGCTGTGTGGTGTTGCTCTGCATAGGTTTGTTTACGCTCATTTTTAGTGCTGGTGAATGGTGCTGGACTCGACAGCTGTGGGCACTGAAATCTACGGGTTACCCAACCTGCAGCCACCTCTCAAGCAATGAGCAGATTTTCTTCTCTCTGCCAAGGTGTCTCAATCCTAAGCTGGAATTGCCATACTGGAAGACAGCAAGGGGAGACTTACAGTTAGCTGTCCTTAGTGCCTCAGAGTAAGGCATAAATTCCCATTTCTGACACGGGAAGGGGATATCTTCCTGACCCTAGCTGATGGTTAGCTTATGTCCTGCTCCTGCAGCATGAAGGTCTTTGCAGTTCTATCCTAGCTAGAGAAATTGCAGGTGTTGTTCATATGCACATAAATGCCTGTTAAAAACATTGAATTATTATTGAATTACTTGCATTAATAAAAAGAAAAGGAGGACTTGTGGCACCTTAGAGACTAACCAATTTATTTGAGCATAAGCTTTCGTGAGCTACAGCTCACTTCATCGGATGCATACTTTTCGCATCCGATGAAGTGAGCTGTAGCTCACAAAAGCTTATGCTCAAATAAATTGGTTAGTCTCTAAGGTGCCACAAGTCCTCCTTTTCTTTTTGCGAATACAGACTAACACGGCTGTTACTCTGAAATTTGCATTAATGTCTTCCAGCAGTGAGTTCCATGGGATACTTACACATTGTGTAACATGTGGCTTCCTTTTGTCCATTTTAAAACTGTTGCCTTTTAATACTATCAAATTATTATTTTCTTGTGTCAAGGGGTGGAAAATGAGGCCACTTGACTCACCTTCTCTGCATCATTCATTGTTGAAAGTATGTTCTGGTGATTACTGTACTGTCCTAGGAGACAGTAATTTTATGTTCTACTCCACACTCTGCCAACATGGCCTAGAGCTAGTCCCCTTTTAACTTCCCTATGCCTCAGCTTCCTAATCTGTAAAATGGGGATGATAATACTTAGCTATTTCTTTTGGATGTGTATCTTGCTACAGTTGGTCATGCTTTTGTCTCCTTGAGATTGACTGAGGTAATACACTCTACATGAGGTTGTATCTTATGATGATCCAGAAGACAAAGGTAGTGCAAAATACACTTTATGTAGAGAATCAGTTACACCGGTTCTTTAGAGTCTCTGCCGTTTTTCTGTAATGTTTAGGAAAAGCTATGTGAATGAGTGATCTGTGTTGATTGTGATAGTTTGAAAGCCAGGGTTAAAGTTTATGTGGAAATTACAGAATTGAAATCTTCCTACGTGTGTACTGATGGATTTTGTTTAAGGTGGAGTTAAGGCTGCGGGGGATTGTTCAGCATTAAGGTGTCAGAATTGCTTTTGGAATCATCATTTGTGATTCCATACACTTTAGCGTTGGGTTGTTTGAAGTGTACATCATGTGTTCAGTGGTACATCTTCCCTTCAATTGCATTTATAGACTTCAGTGTAAGTTAACTGTTGTTGTTGAATTTCCTAGATCTTCTTTTTTGTAAATGTAGAATCTATTTTGAATGCTATTAAAAGTTGTGTTTAAGGGTTTGTGGGAAGCGTTATCTACTTTTAGTCTCTCTTTTTATTAACAATCCACTGACATTTCTTTCTGGCATATATATCTTTTGCATGTTCTTAGTTTCACCTCTTTCTTTTATCGGTGACATTGATACTTAACAGTAGATATTATCCTTCATGGTAAAGAGAATTAACTGCATCCCTTCTACAATGCCAAAATGATTGTGAGGTTTGGCAAAGGTCATGAGGTCTTCATTTCCAGCAAAGTGGAAATTAACTGATGCCTCTTCATTCCTTCCTTACCCTTCTAGATCACATGATCTTTCTATCATCCTAAATATGAATTGCCATGGATTTTTAGTCAGTACTTGGTGCTTTTATAATCCAAGAATTTCCCACAGTCAACAGAGGGAAATGTCCTCACTGCACAATTAACTGGGGTGACCAGCACTGGGGTGACCAGCACTCGGGTCTGAGTACGGGGGTTACCCTAGTCAGGGTGTGAGTTGTCACACTGCAAATCCGGATTCGACTGCGTCCACACAGTTGCTGTGCATCCATATTAGCTCAGGAACTTCTGGGGGCTCGTAGCGCTGCAGCATGATATGATGCTCTGTGATTCTTTCCTAGTGAATTGTGGGAGAACTTGTCTGTCCTTCTGGGCACACGGGGGAAATGTGAGAAGGCATCGGAGGACTGTCAGCACTTGAGTGGTTTAACCTGAATCCTCACTGCAAAGTGGGCAGGTTGCCAGCCCAAAGGTAAGCCATGTTCATGCGTTAGCCTATAGCCCAGGACGGGCCAGCTAGCTCAGGGGTAAAGCTGAGGTGTGGGTGTGAATGGGAGTCAGGATAAGGCCAACCCCACCTAATAGCCAGGTTTAACTCTGCAGCAAGGATGGACTCCCAATCATTTCTGGAGCTGGGATACCTGTGTCGTCTTGCAGTTTCAGATGCCAAAACTTGTATCATTTAAAGGTTCGTCATCTACTAGGAAACCCTTTGGCAAAACCCTGCATACTCCAGAACAAGCTAGACCTGGATTCTGTGGCAAAGTCTCTGAAAACTGTGGCACTCTGCTGCAGCTTCATTTAAGTGGAAAAGTGGAAGTGT